GACCGCAAGAATACTACTTCCATCACATGGCTGGTCGTGAGGGTCTTATCGATACAGCTGTCAAGACGTCTCGCTCTGGTTACCTGCAAAGATGCATTATCAAGGGTATGGAGGGACTTACAGTGACGTATGACTCGACGGTGCGAGATGCCGACGGCACCCTTGTGCAGTTCCTCTACGGCGAGGACGGCCTTGACCCGACTAAGCAGAAATACCTGACCGACTTCAGCTTCATCCTCCGCAATGTTGGTTCCGAGTCAGCCCAGCTTAACTTCAGCAACGGCTTCAGGGAACAATTTGCCGGCACCAAGGACGAGATCCTCAAGCATATGAAGAGTGCAATTAAGCACGCAAAGCTTGATAGCCCTGGGGCAAAGGATCCCATCATTTCCCTGGTCAACCCTGCGAGAGTAGCATTTGCGACATCCGAATCCTTCTACGAGAAAATGACAAAGTACATCAAAGACAACAAGGATGGTCTCATTCGCGACAAGTCAAGCAGTCCATCTGGCTTGGTGGATGCACCCGCCGTCAGCAAAAAGTCGGCAGAGCTTGTGTTCGCGGCCAAGTACATGCGATCACTCGTTGAGGCTGGTGAGGGTGTCGGCATTGTTGCTGGTCAGAGTGTGGGAGAGCCTTCGACACAGATGACCCTCAATACATTCCATTTGGCAGGTCACTCGGCAAAGAACGTCACGCTCGGTATTCCACGTCTCCGTGAAATCCTCATGACGGCAAGTCGATCTATCTCAACACCGGCCATGACACTACTTCTCCATCCTGAGTTGTCCGAAGCTGAGGGAGAGGTATTTGCAAAGTCCATTAGCGTTCTGCCTCTTGCCCATGTGCTTGACACAGCGACCGTCAACGAGCGCATCGGAAAGGGCATCCATGGTTCATTGGCCAAGCTGTACGATGTGAGGCTCAACTTCTTCTCTGCTGCAGAGTACACCAAAGCCTACGCCATTGATCCTTCTGATGTCATGGATACCATCGAGAAGCGATTCCTGGATCACCTCCTGAAGATGATTGGTAAGGAAATCAAGAAGCGCAGCAGCGATTCCACCTCGGCGACGCCTGAAGTTGGCGTCAAGTCTGGCGTAGTAGAGATGGTCAGTGGCAACGGTGAGGCAAGACCTACCAACAACGACGATGATGACGACGACGAGGATGGCGATGGTGACGCCACGAGTGCCAAGGACAGGGCAAACCGGGACGAGGCTGTATCATATGGTCCAAATGATGACGAGGATGACGCGATTCAGCGACAGATGGAACGGGAAAATTCCGAGGACGAAGATGAAGGGTTTGAGGGTAGCCCACTGCCGGCAGCCGACAAGAACGGCTCTGAGGACGAAGATAACGGGGACAAAGACATGGACAGTGAGGATGGTGGCTGGAGAGCCGAGCGAGTAAAGCAACTCTATTCTCCCGTCACCAAGTTCAACTACGACAGCGCAGGAGAGTGGTGCGAGTTCACTCTCGAGTTCACGGCAGATACCCCCAAGGTATTGATGCTCAACATCGTGCAGGCGGCGGTCAAGAAGTCAGTCGTCCAGCAGATTCCTGGCGTTGGCTCTTGCACCTTCACACCCGACCACAAGATCACAAACGCCGCTGGCAAGGATGTGACAGTGTCGGCCATCTACACATCGGGTTGCAACCTCGTGGCCATGCAGAAGTATGGCGACTTCATCAACCCGAACCAGATCACTACCAACGACATTGGCGCCGTTCTAGACGTGTACGGAGTTGAGGCATGCCGAAACAACATCGTGTCTGAATTGGCCGGCGTCTTCGGCGGTCACGGTATCAGTGTCGACAACAGACACTTGAACCTCATCGCCGACTACATGACGCGCAATGGTGACTACACGCCCTTCAACCGTAATGGTCTGCGTGGCAATGTTAGTCCCTTCACCAAGATGAGTTTCGAGACGACCCTGGCTTTCCTCAAGGACGCCGTTCTTGATGGCGACTGGGATGATCTCAAAACACCCAGTGGTCGTATTGTCATGGGCCGTCTGGGCAAGATTGGCACGGGTGCCTTTGACGTTTTGACGGCTTTGCCTACGCATCATATGTCGTCCAACATCGAGTGAGCTTAGCTCCCTGTCTGGCTACTCGTATCTGTCTTGCTTTGGGTTCTGGGATTAGGAGTCGCTATGGCAAGTTGTTTACTGACCAATAACTGTACTTTGTATGCGGGATTGATAGAGGTGGCATTCACCTGAAAAGTAATTATGAATTACCAAGATATTTATTCATTAAAGTATGTTCAAAAGACGTATACGATATTACAAATACAGTCACACGAAGAAGGGGATGACGCGGAAAGTGAATCGATGATCATACGGAGTGTCTCCCCCCTCCTTTGCGCCTGGGGGCGCGGTCTCAGTAGATTCGAGAAAGTGATAAGGGTATGTATGTACGTATGCGAAGTAGGGCAAGGTAAGGTCGTCTACGTGCCTTACACTACAATAACTGCGGATTGCACGGTGTGACACTTCCGTCGTGTCCACGAACCGTTCAAATGTTCTCTTAACACGGATGCCATACATAGGATTTAGGCGTGAGGCTTGTTTACGGCCTGACACTCCTGCTGATGGCCAAGGCCGTAACTGATTACCCTGCCTCCTTTGTCAGACCGACGACGCATGCACAAGTGGCGCCCGTTGTGTTGGCGCATGTGTTGAGCCAGCCCTACCAGGCAGTAGAGCCGAGACATGACGGAACTTAACAGAGATGGGGGTGGGAAACACCCTCCATGTGAGAAGGGGGCACGGTGCGGGTAGGTGGCATGAACGGCGGCCAGGCGAACGCGATGCGTCTCACTTGCCTGCATCCCATCCCATCCTCTCGACTGACCGATATGTGACCTTGGGGTGTGGGTACGAATTACAGATGTTTGGGTGACAAGCTGCATGCATGGAGATGATACACGCGGGCTCGCAGGGCCAGTGAGGGGAGAGACGAGGATAGGCGCCGAGAGAGACGAGAAAATGCGACGCTACCGCGTTTGGGGGCGGTTACTGGAGGGTGCATGATGCGGCCATGCCCACGACTACGACTGTAACCCGGAGATCCTTTGAGGGAGAGAGGGAGGGAGAGAGAAGAGTCTTTGAGTACCTAGGTAGGCCAAGGTATAACGTACGAGTACCTCGGGGAAAGGAAGAAGCCGTTGGTTAGACTGATTCGAGACTGCACGTCATAGAGTTGTCTGGGTTGGAGAGGTAATCATCGATCGACGCTCACTTCTTGGTGAGCCAAGTCTACCACAAAGTGAACTGGGTGAGCAGGCGGGTAGGTGTGTGAGGTGCTTGCCAGCCGGCGGGCGAGAAGGGGACGGGGACGGGTACGGGGACGGATGAGCACGCTGCCTACCTTACTGGTAATCGGCAGAATGCGACCCCAAGGGTGTTGGGTGGTTATTGAATGCTACCAATTGCGTCAATGACATGTTCAGAAACATGGCCTTGAACACCTGTGGCGCGTGAAGGGTGAGAAGAAAGCCCTGTCTACTAAGTTGATACCTGTGGGGAGGAGGAGAAGGGGCGGGGGGGTTATCAACTTGTCACCTTCCGATTTGAAGAAGCATCGAATGTCATGATGTGCATGGCTTTGGGTTGTTCCTCTACAGGGCTGTCCGGGAATCATGGCTCAGTACGGAACAATACGTGTACGGAGCAGACAGTCACGCAGTGAAGACACTTTCTTTCAATTATTGGAATGCCAAAGACACCAATATCTAATGCAACGCTGCACCAACAGCAAGGAGAAGAGCATTGAGCAGTAAGGCACTACCTATGTGATATGTATCCGTAGCCTAGAGGGAATTCGGGGAGAGCACACACCACACCTAATACGGACCCCGGCCATGCCCTTGCCTTTGCTGGGTGCCCTTGCCGTTACCTGCGCGAATCCCCGCCGTAGCGCGCCCCGCCGAGACCGAGGAGACAAATCAAAAAGGGATTGCTGGACAGTTTCCGGTGTCCAGGGTGCTGTAAGATGTTCGATACAACGTGCCATCGGTCCCGAATGGTGTATCGTACAGGGCAGTAGTCAGCTGTGAGTATGAAGTAGGATAGCGGGTGCAAGACAGGGGAGAGCGCGAGAGTATTGTACTGTGTAATGTAAGTAAGGCAAGGTAAGGTAGGCAGTCAGATGGGTAAAAATGTACAGAGTACCGAGGTATTTGAGTATGGACTGTGTCTTATCTTATGTAAGCAGAAAGGGAAGAGAGAGGCGACATAAGGTTGAAATAATTCGCTAATGCTGGTGTATACCTAATCCGCCAACCCTTTGCGTTATGGTAGCTATCAGAATCCGAAATCAGCCGCTATTGTGTCTGTACGGAGTAGTTGGTGTTGCTCGACGAAAGGGACCAGGTAGTTTGGAATGGAAATGCAGTGAAGAGATGCTTGAGGAATCCGTACAGGGTACCTAGGTAAGCTAGTACTGTGTCAATATCCGTATCCGTAGGAGCTCTTGCCTTCTCTACGCAGTAAGGTAGTGTACGGATCAGGTACCGAGTCTTTTCTTTGGGCAGAATGGAAAGTTCGCCAGAGAGTCCAGCGCTGTCATTCTTCAAGGTAAGGTAGCGGGCCGTGGGTCTCGTTCCAGCTGTCAGCGTGCGGTGCAGCTTGCTCCACGCAAAATCCCGCCTGCCAAGAGCTGCAATGACCGGATTTGGTCAGGTCACGATACCTCAGCGTTTGTACCGCAGTACGGAGCGATACGTCCTCTTGACACACACAGAGAAATGTACTTCTTGCCATGTACTTGTCGCCATGTGCTTTCCAAGAGACGGGGTGAGGTGAGCAAGGACCACCTGTCCACGTCCAACACTTGCCCGTCGCCCGCCCGGGGCTGTTGGCTCCAGCTCCCGAACTCCCGGTCCCACCCAACTGCTAGGTACGGCCCTGTGTGGAAAGATGCATGCCTTTCATGCTCCAATCTTCAACCCAGTTCGCCTGCAAGTTCCCCCTCTCCTCCACCACCCTCTCCGTAGTCCCAAGCCATGTGCCATCCAACGTATTTCCGTACGAATACATGCTGCCTCTGTCACTCTTTGCTGACAACCGGCTTTCCTCGCTCCCAACGAGGGGGTCAACCAGGAGGAATCGCACCTCATACGGACAACACCATCGTCCAAGATTCACGTTGCAACTCTTCGTCAACCGCACCACAACTCTTAGCCTGGCGCTTGTATGGCCAATCGCATACTTGCCGTTCGGCCCTATGGCTTATGTGGCTCGTAGCTCACTCTCAGTGGTGATGTGCCTCAGCATCCCAGTCTGGGATGGCACCTAGCCCTACCATGTTCAAGCCGAGCTTTGGCACGCAGCGGTTCACGTCCGCAGCAAGCCTCTTTAGGCCCGGAGTTCTGCATGCACTGCGTCCAACGTCTTGTTCTGCAGCATAGATGCGATCCTACGTCGCCGCCTTGTTGGCCTCAGTTTCTGTCTAGTCGTGCTGGAAGATGCCGTCAGACGTGGCATGCTCAATCGTGTCGTCGTCCGTAATAACTCGCGTCCCCTAAATATCTTGCATGTCCGGCCGATGTCCCCTCGCACTCCCCATCACCACGGAAGCTGACCTTGCCGGGCCTGCCCTGGCCTCTGTAGGTTGTCCGTTGGAGCTTTGTGCAGCAGGCCAACAAACAATCACGAAATTTGGAATTTGGGGCCTCTGTTCCTTATGTTGTGCCGCCGAGGGCTCTGGTCGGACACCACCTGCCTTACCATACCGTTATACCCTGCTACTTGGAAATTGGGAGCTCGCTCCTTTGTCTTCAATATGCGGCCTCAAGCGGGGCCAGGCTGTTGCCTCCATGCCATCCACATTGTAGATCCCGGCTTCGCAGTGTAGAATCCACGGTATATGCCCTGAATTGTATCCGATTGGTCAAGGTACAGTAGTTTCATTGCAATTGAAGGCCTTACTCGGCCGTATAGCTACTACTGCTATTGCTTCACTTACCCTTATCATGCCCATCAAATACATTCCGTCATTAAAGTATTTCCTCCTGCCGTGCCCGCTCAATGCTCCAACGCCATGATTAAGACATTTACAGTATCTCCACAGCAAATGATTTCTCGTGCGTGCAAATCAAACCAAATCCTCCAAAGCCAGTTCGAGTTAGTGTTACAGTGATCCCTTAGACGTCGATGAGAAAGGCTTGTATGACACACAGCTCCTTCACGAGAGGATTAAGTCGCCGTTCCATTACCGCTGCCAACTATCGCCATGTGTTCCATCACTCGTGCCAGACAAGACGCTTCTACTCCTGTAAGCAGATGATTCGGGATGTAAAAGGCTATTACCGCCCCCCATCGGCGCGTTGATGGGAGGCAGAGGTCCCGAGCCGGGTCCCATGGGATGTATCGGCCCTCCCATGCTACGATTGACCGGCGCTATGCCTCCAAAACCCTCCACACGAAGGTCGCAAGTGCCAACGTCGAAGCGTTTGGAACATCCATCATCCATGTGCCTAAAGCTCGGATTAGTGATATATTCTTGGCAGCCACTAGTCTGTGTGCCTCCAGCCGTATCTCCCACAACTTACCTGCGAAGCGTGTCCTTCCGGGCGAATAACCTTCCACAATAGTCGCAGCGGTGGTTTTTTTCCTTCATATGAACGCTTTGGTTGTGTCTCTGAAGGTCTGTCTTCCGGACAAACCTCTTATTGCAATCGGCCACTGGACATGGAAATGGGTATTCCCGCTTGTCGTCATGTGTATCCAGATGTGCCTTGTAGTTGTAGCTGCGACTGAAGAGTTTGCCACATCCTGCAACTTGGCATTGGTACTGAGCGTCCGCAAAGGATGTCATCTTCCGTGGCGCTCGTTTTGGGCGGTTGTGCTTCCCGTCTTCTGCCCGCTTCGAGTCTCGACCAACAGGAGCTGGCTCCCCTGCAGGAGGGTTTTGGTAGTACTGGTCCACGCCATATTCGACCTTGGACCAGCTTGGAGATTGGTTATCTGATAGATAGTGCTGGTGAAGATTGCCGTACGTGCTTGATTCTGTCATGTAAGGCGTCTGCATTGAGCGTGGAGAGGCGTAGTGTGAGGCGTCAATTCCAGATCCGTACTCATTGGCGTTCTCCATCTTGATCCTCGGTCCCAACGAACTTGAGGCATGTCCAACTTGTGCATAGGAAAGCGAACTCCTGGACGAGGATGGCCCGGGTGAGCGCCCCGGGGAGTCTGTGAGAGACTGTTGATGGTGGCCTAGCGCGGACGAGTGGGATGGCGGCAGAGGGTATGAGTCGGATCCATATGAGGCGGATACTTGCGAGTCGTACTCAGCAAACGGGTCGTATCCTGTAGATAGAACATTCGGGATGGAGAAGGATGAGGATGAGGGCGCCATGATGTCGGTGGTACTCCAATCTACCGGTGGTCGAGTATCCAAAGGCGGCAAGGAAATATCTGCTTCGGCTGCCTGATCCAAGGAGCAGAGTTGGTCGGCAGCGTATAAAGAACTGATCTTGTACTGCTGAGCCGCCAAGTCTGGAGACGGATATTCAAGCGAGGAACGTTCCGATGGACAATAGGTGTGAGTTGGAGATGCCGGCGACCTGGTAAGAGATGGTGGTGTAAGATCCATAACTGGTTCGGCCGCAGGCTTGCTATTCTTTTATCGTTCCGACGGGCGGTTGGTTGGTTGTTGGACGCAAAAGTTTGGTTTATATACCAACAGGGTGTTGGAGCAAGACGCAATCAGGCCTCGAGGGGGGTGGAGGATGCCCGGTTGGGACTCGGGTAGATTTGTGTGAGTGGAGGAGCGTGTGGATAAGAACCTGATCTTGAGTGCTCTGTTTCTGATTGGCAACCTTGTCTAAGAAGGCTGAGGGACAATAGGTAAGATGGAGAAAGAGGCGGTTATAAAGGAATTTGTTCACAGATGCAGAGGGGGCAAGACAAGGCAGCAAACTGGAAACTGACAGGGGTTCTGCTGAAGAGAGAGAAAGAGGTGCGTATAAAGTAGTCAGGGTGTGGATATGTATGAGATCAGGTGCGTGGGCAAAGGAAGGTAAGGTACCCGTCCGTAAGGTGTTGAAGTATCCAAAAGATGGGGATAACCTAGTCGAGAGCTATTAGGGGTGGATGAGGCAAATGGGTCGAGATGACACCCTCTATCATCGCCAACAGGGCTGAAGGGAACCGAGAAGAGACAGAGACAGGAAGACAAGGCGGACCAGGCGCTGGGATACTGCAACATCCGAGGCAGACTCTTGGAAGATGATATACAATCCGTTTCTATCTCGGGATCCTGCTTCTGCCTGGAGCCCAGAGTAACATGAGAGACAGGAATCAAGACTAGGTGCAAGGTAAAGACGCGGAAAGCTAGCAGTACATTGGCTGGCCCCGAGTCCCGGATGAGCAACGAAAAGAGACGCAGGAGGGATGGCGACCTGGCAGCAGAGGCAGCAGGCAGGCCAGAGTGCCTGGTGGAGTGGTGTTGGACCGTCCCGCGAAGGATTCAACAGACCTAGTCCAGCCAGAAGTACCATTGGGGGCGGCGCGAGACGTGGAGGGGGAGGGCAGAAGAAAAGCAGGGGTGGAGGAGGAGGGGCGTCGTCAGGCCAGGAACCCACCGAGAAGGGGGTGAGAGCAAGGGAGGGGGGACGTGACCGAAAGTCCGAATAATGAGAGAGAAACAGATGAGCAACGAGCTTGCTAGGTGTACGGAGTATTGTGGGATCAGCGGACTCTTTTTTTTTATTTTATCCTTTGGGTATGGATGAGACTTGGGTGTAGCCGAAGGGGATCGGGTTCGCCGTAGGTGCTAGGGGCCCATCTGCAGACTTGCAGAGAGTATTCGTCGTAATTGAGACTTGCCAATCCAGATGCTTCTTTCCAACAGGTCTCGACTCAGATGACCTGCTTCGAGTGCTCTCTGCCTGCGGCTCCCTGGTCTACGGCCCTGTCATCTGAAGCCTGAAGGTGGCTCACAGCCAAAGTGACTGGCACTCTGGGAAACTCGAGAGGGGCCCGGGCGAGTCTGAGAGAGCTGGGAGCTGAGCAACAAAACAGTATATGGGCGGTGGGCCAGGTGGTACGATGAATGCCTGCACCAACGCAGGCGAAGCACATTCATCCGTCCATTTCCAGGGTTGTGAATGGTCGGTCCAGCAACTTGGGAATGGGAGAGGGCCTTGCCTAGAGGCTAAACAGGGATGCGACCTTTGAGGCTTGACCGGTCACTGGCACCATCTGCGCCAGGGGTCCGGGGAAGAAATGGGAAGGAAAGGGAAGAGGAGAGGAGATTCGAAGAGAAAGGGAAAAGTAAAGGGCTTACAGACAGGCACTGATTTGAACGAATAGGATATGGACGGAGTACAGAGATGCAGTAGTATATCCAGGTCCCTCACCTTGTGCGTTGATATGCAGCCAGGGGGTGGGGGTTGGGGGACATTGGCTTCCCTCGGTGTTGATTTTGTCTGTATAATGGGTGACTGCTTCTTAGGGCCTCATCTTCCTCCTCATCTTCCTCCTCATCTTCCCGTGGCGCTCTTTGCTGGGCTTAATCTGGATTCTCACGCGAAATGGGCGTCCTACATCTTCTTTAGAGACCTACCTTAGCTCAGGTCGGGTACTGGATGCGAGCGAGCAGCAAGCCCACTTGGATGTCTCCCACGAACAAGCACACAGCCCTCGGATTGTTGGTCGACGATTGACAACAAAAGGAAGAACGATGAGAGAGAAAAACTCGTCGCCGTTTGTCGTTGGTTGTTGGAACTGTCTGAACCAACCGTTTAATTAAAGACTCGCCGGGGACATTGACCTAGACCGGACGGAGCCCGTGCGTAAAAGTGGACACTCCAACGATCGATTGAGCCACATCGGCCGTGGTGGAGCCGTCGGGCGAGCTAAGTATGGTACTTTAGCATCAGGTACCGCATCTTTTCGTTCCTTTCCAGCCATTGTGCAGAGTACCGCCCGGTACGTAGCGACTTCAGGTACTTGGAGTGCCCAGGTACCTTACTTCGAAGCATTGCTTCGCCTTGCAGCGTTGGAGACTTCGACATGGCTACGAGGTAAGGTATGTCAAGGTCATAATAAACCAACGGCCAACATGCCAATGCAAATCTGCTTTGAACATTCAATCCCCAATTGTCTCTTGCTCTTACGGTCTTACCTTAGGTAGACCACGGCATAAACGAGGAATTAGGGTAGAATGAAAACCACTATATCCCATGTCCGTGTGTTCTCTTGTTTCTTATCCGTCTTAGTTCCCTTCCCTCAACTTCTTTCCAGGTATCGATACATCACGGTTCGCTGCGGCAGGTCTCGCCCAGGACCTGTAGCCGTTGCAACCGCCCGTTCTCCAGCGTGGCGTTGGCGCCCGCGCCTGCGTTGGTTCTGGCATGTAAGAGACGACTATCAAGGGTATCCGCAGTCAGTAGGGCAAGGCCAGGTACAAGCATTTGAACTCCCCGCCCGCTCCTTGACGCCTTTGCAAGGTGAGCAGCCTAATGGTGGTACCCCATCCGTTAAACACCCCTGCTGTCCGCAAGATGAGTACCTTCTTACCGTGTTGGAGGCCAAAATAAAAACCCTGGAAGTGAGAAAGCGGGAAGAGGGGGCAGGAAAGTAAAGCAGGCGTACCGTACGGATACAACGACCAGGTATCCGTACTTGAGGCGCTGATTTGAATTCTCTCCCTGCCTTCGCGAAGCTGCAAATGACGGGCCGATGAAATAACCTTTGAGAGAAGGATGGGAGTGGCGCTCATCGACGCCACCAAATATCAACCTCATGGCTGCACGTATTCGAAGACTAGAGCAGGCACCTTGGCACCGTACTTACAAGTAGCAAACGGGTCAGCGTTGCCGCTTCCAAGAAATCATCATCTGTCATTTCCAATTAGAGCATGCACCAGGCGAAACTCCATCAGCCGGCAAGGTGCGCTTTCACCAGCAGATGCTCTCACCTCACTCGTTTTCTAACTTCCAAGGTTAGCGTTGCTCCTTGCGCCTCCTTCGGCCCCAGGCACCTCGTTACCTTGTTCCTCCCGTGCTTCCATAGGTGGCCATGCGCGCCTTCGCGCCCGTATGCATGGCGTCAACGCTGGGCTTGGGATGCCTGCTGCCAATCGCAATGCCTAGTCTTCTTGTCAGGACTAGGAAGTCGGGAGGAGCAGTTGAGTCTTCAATTGTTATGGTGTTAAACCCTGTCTCCAGAGGGTCCGATTTCTACGGCGCTGTCAGCAATACGGATGCGACAACTCCCCATCCAACAATTTACGATATATCTAATTCGACAGCTTCGAAGGAATTAGCCAAGCATCCAATGCACGCACCTTATCGAGTAACCCTGGCTTCTTCGGGCAAAGTGTGGAGTCTCATCGTTCGTGGGCGGTTTAGAATTCACTTCCCCAGTCCATGTGAAGATGTACGCAGAGAGTTATCGTCTACAAGACAGCGCAACCTGTCATTCTCATGCTTCGTGAATCTATGACTGCTTTTCACGCGATTGAACTGTCAATCTCCAAGGCTGAAAGTAGTTCATCTTGGGGATCGATCCAGACCTGTATATTGCTGGAGGCATCGCGACTGGAAGACGCAGCCGCACTGGGGGGTTTCTGCCATGTCTACGGACTTTCCGACCTGATAGAGCAAAAGTTCATTAATGACCTGACATTGTCTACCTGCCATAAATGCTGTACATGAAAATGATTGCTGAGTTCGAGTAGATCCGGCATCGTGACACGTTCTAACGCATCTCCAAATGTATGAGGCCTTCGGGGGAGCCACCTTATCAAGGTACAACAGAAAACATATCTGTTAAGATCCACGAGTAGGATCAGTCTGCCCGGTAGGCGGTGCTTGCCCCTGGGGAAATCTATCCAACCCTGCCTTTCTTCCCGTCTTTTATGCCTCTTACCCATCCAGACTTGCTCGTGGCAGCTGTCAAAGAGCATGGTGTGAGGTATCCGTACCTTCTGTACGGGCTGCGTAAGGTATACTACCTTAGGTAAAGGCAACGCAGAAAAGTTTCCATCAAAGTAAGACCAGGCTCCGAATCAAGACAGGTGTGTGCCATCCAAGTCAGGTGCATGTATGTTTGGCCACCGCGAGGAGGGTTGTGCCTCTCGTGCTTTCTTAGGTACTTCGAGGTACCTTGTGGAACTCCGTAGGGCTTTCAATGTCAGGGGGCGCATGGAGCACGTCCCTTGGCCGCTGACAGTCTATACACTACGTACATTAGGTAGGTAGTACCTTACTCCGTAGGTAGGCCAACTGGGGCTCTCTCTTCAGGCTCTGCAAGGTACTTTTCTGTGGGTTGAGTGGAAGCCGTCAAGACGAGGCCAATGGCACCTCCCATTTCATTCATTTCCCAGACTGTCTATAGGTCCCTCTCGCTCTGTTTCTGGCCGCAAGAAGATAGTTCCATCATGTTAGCCTTCGCTGGGCTGCACTCGAATACATTGAGGCACCACGACAGGTACCCGAAGTTGTGGCGCCAGAAGAGTGGTGAGATGAAAAGAAACCTACGACCGGGTGCCGCGTGGACGGTCTTTCCTTCATTAGCGGCAGTCTGACAGTGTTTTGACTGTCTGTAATCAAGAGTCCACCTAATTCTGGTACAATTCTCCTCCCACTCCCATATCTCTCGTCCGCCTGAGCTTTGAATAAGCGTTTTCAACCTTCCCCTGTCGACCTACTCTCTTTTGCTCTCCTTCTTTTATCCCCATGTTGGCACCAGTATCCCCGAAAAGTCTGGCCTCGGTCCCAACCCTTGGCTCTCGCAGCGAATTTGATCCGCTGCCAAACTCCACGGATAGCTTTCCACGACGTGATCCAGTCTCTTGCTGCGGTACTTAGCTCAGGCCCCAACGCCAGGAACCCGGCTGTAACTCTAGGACATGAGAATGAACCACACGGTCCCCAGGTAACAGAGAATGTGTGATACCTGGTTTGTTAGTCCGTACGCTCTTGACTTTTTCCTCCACTGTTTCCCATCGTTTCCGTGGTTTGAAGGATTCCGATAGTGTCTTGCGCATCCGGCAATGTATAGAACACACCAGGACGGCACCGTGGGCACGTAGGCATGACAAGTATTCTTACATCTGTCCGGACTACCTAAAAATGACAATGGGCCTTCGCAGGGACTGTTGATGCCGAATTAAACTGACCCTACGAGACCTTGCGATCTCCCAACCCCCCAGACCTCCAAGTTCCTACCATGTTACCGTAGACAGTACGCTACTGCGAGGTGGACACTGAATGAGCAGCATCTTTGTGTTCAGTATGGCGTCTGCGAATCTGAAGCAAGGGTCCCCGGAAGCGAGACCGCAGCCGGGCGTAAGCAGAGCGACCAGGTGGGTGCTTGATAGGGAACTTTGGTGAACAGGCATTCTACCTCACTTCCGAGCAGTGCGAGCTTTAGTCGAATTTCCGACCCTTCAACATGCCACCTAAATCGGCATGCAGTATCTGCGCTCCTTCGCGCCAGTATCCGTACTGCCAAAGGATCCGGAGTGCCGTCTGATTAAGTGCTGACTGTAACTCGGTCAAGAGGTTGCGTCCAATGGCATGGAAATCTTACTTCACTGCGAAGAGATCATCGTGGCCCACAGATTGTCAGCGAAGGGATAATACCTATCGCGAAGACTCTAGCGAGCCAAGCCATGCGCTGCCAAGTCATTGGCCGGCCTAGGCGAGTGGCCGATAAACGGGCTAGATCTTCCCCCAATTGAGCGTGCTGTGCAGTATATCATTAAGCTCTACCTTACAGTCCGCGTGAGGTAGAGCCGCGCTTCCTTGTGTAGGGTACGGTCTAATATCTAGTAGATGTTATCTCGACTCACAGCAGAAAGCAAGACTTGTTAAGATGCGAAGCTGCGGACAGGCTAAGGTGAAATGCAGCTCTGACGACGTATATAACATCAAAGCAAGGTCATGTTCTATCAGGGTTTGCGGCAAAGATTCCGGTGCTCTGGAGCATCTAGAGAACACTTCGGGGCTGGGATAACATTTGGTATGCCCGGACGTTTCGATGAACGTCCATGAGCTGTAATCCTCTGTTTCTCTATGTCGAAGTTGTTTCGTAATGAGCGTGGTCCGCATGGCCGTCGCGTTAGTAAGGCCCCCGACCATGCCATGAAGGCTACCCTTTACTAGGTTGATGAAGGTAGGCGCTCCTCCTGTGCTAGTAAGTTCGTCCGCATGCCGAAAGGAAGTCTCACTCTGGCACATAGCCATGTCGCGGAACCCGAATTTGCGAGACTGAGTACCAAGTATGTAGCGGACCATTGAAAATATGTCGAGAGAATGTAACACTTTCAAAACAGCTGAGCAGCTTCATGATACTGGCCACAACAACCTCTTGCCAACTCAGTTTTACTTCACACAAAGTCATACGTTCCGAATGCCGCTGGCTGCATAATACACGGAATGCACATACGGGTGGTGAGCCATGCATCGACCTTGGGGTACACGTCACTCGGCCGCAGAAACTTGTCTGACATGTCCTGGGCCCACATTGTCGTGGCGTGGCATCCCACCTCATCCTTCACAGTGAGAATGTGCCGCGCAGATACGCATGGTGTGTTCGATTCCACTCAGCCTTATGCTGTGCCGGACGGGCAGCCAAGATCAATTCTCCGCCTTCCCGACGGATTCGTCAACCATCCCACCAGAGACATCCCACCTCAAGTATTTCGAACGCTAGGTGGGCGTGATGAAACCACTACCGTATCGTCACCTCTTGCTAAATCACGACAGGAGTGGCCGGCGCCGTGAGTAGTACGGGTAACTAGCAACGCGTCTAACGTCTCTGCGTGGGAAAGTGCGGATACACGAAAGCGGTCGGAAATTTTATACGAACCAAACAAAAAAACGACCAAATAGTCAATGACAGAGAGAAGAAGTCGCAGGAAGGTGTCAACTCAACTCTTCCATCTGCGGACTATGTACCTTATGGCGCGCGCGCGCACTGACAAGCTCCTCAGTCAAGCATCAGCCAACCCGAAACAAGATGATGACCAAAGGGGGATGACATAAGCGACCTTGTCACGTGAGGCCGCGACTGTTTGGCATCAGAGACTGGGAAGCTGTAGCCTGTCGGGATTGATCCCTCAGGTTCGCTGGGTCCGCCTCACGTCACTCATCGAGACAACTTTTCGGCACGGCAGAAGATGGCCATTGAACTTCGCACTTGACGACTTCAGTCTCAACTGTAACCACAACCTCCGTCTCAATCTCGACCTCGGCCTCGACCTCCGTAGAGCCGCTTCTGTAGCACAAGATTGCACTAGTCTGATGAGATCTGCTTCGGAATCTGGCGCCCGTGACCGCGCTCCCGCTCTACCCATCCATCGGGTCCATTTCCTCAATTCACTCCACCTCCCCATAAATCAGTCTCAATCCATCAACACATATCCCTTCATTGACCATCACGACCTTCACTCGATATTCAGAATCGCTCCTGCCTTTTCTTGCACTCACGTTGAACGATCAACTTAACTGTGTCGCTAGCTGCGGCACTCTTGCCGTCTCAAGATGAAGTTCTTCATCGAGTCAGTTACAATTCGTGATTCCAAGAAATCCGCGTCGCAACTAACATGGAAGCCATAGTGAACTGCCAGTTCTTTTCCCATATCCTTCAATCTATCCTGAGCAATATGCGTGAGTCAAGCCCTATGCGAGCTGCTTTCAGGCCAGGTAAACCGCTGACCAAATGCTAATACGGGCTTCAGATACATGTGTGATCTCAAAAGTGAGCAGTGGTCAAACGGAATTGAATGACGGACGATCTTGCTGACGTGTTATCTCAACCCACAGAGACCCTGGACGCAGGGGGGCACTGCGTATTGGAGATGCCTTCAGGGACAGGAAAGACGGTTTCGCTGCTCTCGCTCATCGTGGCCTACCAGCAACACAACCCCGAGCACCGAAAGCTAATTTACTGCTCTCGTAAGGATCATTCCATCTATGTTTCCATGCGTCTGATCCGCAACTAAAGGTTTTTAGGTACAATGTCCGAGATTGAGAAGGCTCTGGCTGAGCTCAAGGCTCTCATGAAGTATCGAGCACAAGAGCTTGGCGAGGAGGAAGAGTTCCGTGGCCTCGGCTTGACAAGTCGAAAGAACCTATGCCTTCACCCCTCTGTAAAACAGGAGAAGAGTGGTTCCGTCGTCGACGCACGTTGTCGAAGCTTGACAGCAGGCTTTGTCAAGGAGAAGAAAGACCGCGGCGAGAACGTTGACGTTTGTGTCTACCATGATGTATGTTTCGTCTGCAGTCCTATTCTCTCCCTTGGATCTGACACGTTACTGACTTGTGGCAGAACTTGGACCTGCTTGAGCCGCACAACCTGATTCCCAACGGAGTTTGGACGTTTGAAGGCCTCTTGAAATACGGCGAGCAACACAAGCAATGTCCGTACTTTACTGCAAGGCGCATGGTAAAAGAACCAATCACTGAGAACGATGCTTTACTTGGTACAGTGGCACTGACCTCGAATAGATGCAATTTTGCAACGTCATCATCTACTCATACCATTACCTACTTGATCCCAAAATCGCCGAGAGGGTATCAAGGGAGCTCTCAAAAGACTGCATCGTGGTTTTTGACGAGGCTCACAATATCGACAACGTCTGTATCGAATCTCTCAGCACAGACATCACAGAAGATTCCCTACGGAAAGCCACAAGGGGCGCAC